CTTAAGAAAACAAATTAAAGTACGCTGCAATGAAGTTTTGTGCAGGTGCCACGACTTTAGCATTTCAAGCATCGTACAGTCAGTTTCTTTTAGCATTTTAATTATAACTAACATCAAACATGCAATGCTATAGGCTGTCTGGTTGAAATAATTATGTCGTGAGACATTATGGAAAAAAATTAAAAGTTGTTTGAGTTGTGCGTCGTTTATTGTTATATTTTTGTATTATTCAGAAATTCCTCGGTCTGCCTTTACAGTTACAGAGTTTCTAGCTCTTATACTAATGTGTTTGTTTTATCGGTAAAATTGAAGCGAAGTTACATTACTTCGCTTTGAAGTGAACTTTAACTGATAGAGTTGCACCGAATCTTCCTAGGACGTTCTCCATTTACAGCAAAGATCGAATGACCAAGAGAACTATTGGTTGATCAACCAAGGACAACGTTTTTTAATTCAAACAAAAAAATTTTGATCAGAAGCTTTCAGACAAAGAAAATCAATTCATTAAGAAGACACCACTTTGTTTTGTTTTGGCAAATATGTTTTTCCATTTGAGTGCACGACGCGGATATTTCATATTATTAAAAAAGCTCTTCCAAAAGGCACTTTAAAACGCTCATCTTCATTTATCTATCAAGCAAATAAAACCTCTTAGTTTAAGGAAACTATCTATCTAAGGGGGAAAACCTTATTACTATTTTTATGCTGATCTCTTAATTTTGCCATCACCTGCATGACGTTGAATTTTTCTCATACATTCATTATTGCGTTTAAACCGAAAAGTTCGGCTTGGTGCAAGTTTCTAGAGGATAAGAGTCATCTTCCAGGTACTTTAAACACTGTTATCATGCCTTTCACCATCCAAAATAAACTCTATTTATTAAAAAAAAAAAAAAAAAAAAAAAGAACGTAAGTTGGTGGAAGGAAATAATTTTGCTTGAAACATAATAACCTTTCGTTGAAAAACACAAGTGTGCGTAATAAAAACCAAACTTTCTGTTCCCTAAATTTGCAAGTGATTGTCTCTTCATCGGGAGGCGTTATACAACCACATCAATTTATTGCGACTCACTTCGTGAAGTGTAAACAAAGAAAATTATAAATGAAATAACAATAGTCTAGTTCAAGAATTTGGCGGAGTCGTGCATACATTAGAGACCTTTTATCCACGCTGTTTGACCTTATTTCAAATTTCGTAGCATGACGCCACCGGCAGATTTGATAATCTCCACAACCGTATCGAAGTCTAAAGCTTTTTTTTCTTAGTGCAAAGTGTCTTGCCTTGAACATATCACATAAACCCCGACTATAGTTCGATCCCGGACCTTTCATATAGCAGGCGTTACGATATTAACAGAGATGAAAATTGATCTTTCTGTGTACTCTGTAAATGTATACAGATCTGATAAAAGACCACGGCAATGGCAAACCAGTACCAGCTTCTCATGTGCTTGTTCTCCTATGTTTTATTGACGATATCGAACAAAACTGATCACGGAAACTCCACGACCAAGATTGACCTATACATCGGTGGCCTGTTTGGTGTCAACGTCAAAAATGGCAGTTGGAGCACAGCTGGGGTCATACCAGCTTTGGAGATGGCGTTAGAACACGTGAACAGCGATCCTGGCATATTGGTGGACTATCAGCTGAAATACGTGTGGAATGATTCCAGGGTATGTTCTCAGTGCAGGAGTAGAGTTATAAAACTGTTTTTTTTTTTCCTGTTTTGAAAAGTAAACAAATAATTTCAGTTTCGATCAATGCATCTTATACTGAATCAAAGGGCGCCTGAGGCCAACTCGTGGATAAAGTATTAAAGAGATATATACTTGTAGAGTTGTTATCAGTAAACTAAGGTGTTAACGAAAAGATAGAAATTAGAACCATAGCAAGTATAGAAATTTCAGTACTTGAGTATGTGATGGGAACCCCCCCTCTGCCGTATTTTAGCCTATGTTGTGGCCAATCATAGACCC